GGTGCAATACTCCCAAAGGGAAATCATATCTAAAGGGATGCAAACCCTGCTGTTTTCCTCAATAGAACCCTGAAAGTGCAGCAGCTGATTGATCATTATAAAATCGCTACTATTTGATTCACTTTCCACATGGACTCAGAGAAACCGCTGTTTATTCAGATTGAAAAAAGTTAGGAATCTGCAAAAAAGTTTAGTAAAATCTCTGCAATGTACATAGATCACCCAGAGGGGAATGTTGGTGGGTTTTTTTTTGTTTTTTTTTTTTCCTCAAGCGAAGTGGAGTTACTCTTTAAGTTCTGTTGTTTACTGGACGAATGACCTCGCTGTCTCTTGTAATTGCAGTGCAGTGTTGCTTTTACTGTCGCTTTCCCCGTGTGCTCAGCATCTGCACACCAATTGCTGCTCTGTCAGGCATGTTTGCATGCAGCACCTGGGTTACTTTTCTGCTGATGATGGTTATCTCTCGTTGATTACATAATTGCTATATAAATGGACAACATGTTTCACAAACAACCACCGTCCTCTCCTGCTGCCTGTAGTCTTGGAGAAAGAGATCTGATTACAACGGCGAGAAATGTTTCTGCACTTGTTACAGAAAATGCTGTGCTATATTCCCTGTCTCCCGCTGATCTATATTCCCTGTCTCCCGCTGATCTATATTGGTCTGCTTGCTCATCCCTGTGACATTATTGCTTAGTATATAGAATATGGGGACTTGGCCTGTTTTGCTGTCATGTGACTTAACATTGGGAAATGGACCACATGATCTCCTTGTGCTGTTGTCATTGAAGGCTTCCCTGTTTTGTACCCATGTTTGAACACGGGGTCCCTTATATATTATTGCAAGGTAACAGTCATGAATATCTGCTTGTTCCAGTGATAACTAAGGGTTCATGTACACTGCAGCTGATTAGCTCACGTTTAGGAGCTGTTCAGCGGTTTTTTTCAGCAGCCCCTGAACTCTCCCTAATGTTTTCCTATGTGTCCGTGTACACATCGTCGTTTACAGTTGTTACAGTTGTTGTTTTTTAACGTAGAAAACTTGCTTTCAGCAGTCGATTTTATCAGCGTTTCAAACGCAAAATGCTTGTAAACGCTGCCGATCGCGTTTATAAGCATTTGCGTCTGAAATTTTTTTTAACTCTTCCAGTTCCCGATGCTGTCCAGAGCCTTTTTTCATCATGAAAAATGCATGTAAAGCGTTTTCAAGGTACTCAGATGGACAAAACACTGAACACAGGATGTTCCTACTAAGCTTGTCACACATTGCAATGACCAATTCACACCTCAGACCTCTCCCACCCTTGGAAACAAAAGATATGTTAATGACCATTCACACCTCAAATTCCTCATGAAGACCCCCTGCCAGGTGACCTTAGTGACTCCCTCCACCAGACACCTTTCCCACCCTTGGAAACAAAAGAAATGTTAATGAGCAACTCACACCTAAGCTAATCTCAACACATACTGCTGTCTCTGCTTCTACTCTCTGTATTTCTCTGAAACTGTCTGAAATAGTTAATAATTTACCACTTTTCAGTGCATTCTGGGCATTTGGGAGGTTCTCCTGTGCTTATCTTTAAAAAACGCAAACGCGCATAAACGCGTTATGCAAACGCGGCTAAACAGACGTTTTCTAGCAGTCAGTTTCCATTGTTCAGAAGTGTCCCGTGTACATGGGGCCTTAGCTAGCATTCTATTTGGAAGTTTGTGGGGATCAATGACCAGGCATGGTGAGGCAGGGATTAATGATCTTACTGCACAATCAATATAGTATTCCAGTATTGATTTGATTTGAATTTTTCATCTTCCTTAGTACAGGTGTTCCAGAGCAATATCGGAAGTACAGTGCCCACCTAAATTTAGTAAACCTAAAATGACACTCTAATGTGAAAAATATAGAAGCTGCCAGTGCTGACCCTCTTGAAGAAAATGCTAGTTGCTTGGCTGTGTCTGAATTCAATACTTTACACAGCTTGGCTGTATCTGGAACAATTCTGCTTTTAGAGTGGAACTTTAGGTTACAAAAAAAACAAAAAGCAAACAGACAGGGATTTAAATATAGAAGAGGCATGCTTTTGTCTCTTCTGCATTAAGGCCCGGTTCACCCTGATGCGAATTATGTGCAGATTTGATCTGGTGTGAAAGGCATAGATTCACATGTCATCTAAAACAACATTGTTTTCAATGAAGGTTGTTCACATCTATGCAGTGCGATTCTGATCTGGTTAAAAAAGGGTCCTGTGCGAGTTCAGTCCAGAGAAGATTTCATCCAACCACAGCACCACCTGCCTGGAGTTTGTATGTTCTCCCTGTGCCTGCATGGGTTTCCTCCGGGTACCCTGGTTTCCTCCCACACTCTAAAGACATGCTGGTAGGTTCACTGGATCCTGTCTAAATTGTCCCTAGTATGTGTATGTATGAATGTAAGTTAGGGACCTTAGATTGTACACCCCTTGAGGGTTAGGGACCTTAGATTGTACACCCCTTGAGGGTTAGGGCCCTTAGATTGTACACCCCTTGAGGGTTAGGGACCTTAGATTGTACACCCCTTGAGGGTTAGGGACTTAGATTGTACACCCCTTGAGGGTTAGGGACCTTAGATTGTACACCCCTTGAGGGTTAGGGACTGATGTGAATGTACAATATATATGTAAAGCGCTGCGTAAATTGACGGCGCTATTTAAGTACCTGAAATTAAATCTTAGATTGTAAGCTCCTAGGATCAGGCCCTTCTAACCCTCTTGTATTGAACTGTATTGTTGCTGTATTGTCTCCCGTTATAGTAAAGCGCTGAGCAAACTGTTGGCGCCATAAATCCTGTATAATAATAATAATCTCCATAGACTTCAATAGAGACTGGATTGAAATTGCAATCCTGTGTTCACATGAATGTGAATCCAGCTGTTTGAAGTCAGTGGGAGGCTTATCAGAATTGCATCTGAATTGAACCTGAACTGCTGAACAATTCTCATCAGAATCACACTTGACACAGAAATTTGCACCAAACTCGCAGTCAAAAACAGGTGGAATTCGCACCGCATTAGTGTGTGAACCGGTCCTAAAGCTCGGCAATGCCAACTTCGACTGACCTCCCGCGCATTCAAAAGAGCGATGTCATCCCCGCTAGGACAATGAAAGTGGCCGGCGATTGAGACCCAGAAGCTGATCAGGCAGAGAGCTCCAGTGTCAGAATTCCTTATTTCTATACTTGATCTGGGTCAGAGGTTTGGAAAGCTGTGAAGCATCAGCATGACAGCCAGGGAACTAACATTCTCAAAGGAGAGATTGGCAAAGGTAGCCTCTTTACTTTTCCCATGACACATTCACTTTAATTCTGGTTACTATAGGTTCTGTTCTTTCTGTCTGTCTCACTTTTACAGAACCTATTGGGTTGATTCAGGAAATTCATGTAACTCTTTCAGAGCTAGTACTGAGGCCTGTGACAAATTTACATGCACTATATTGCCAAAAGTGTTGGGCCCGCCCTCCAAATTATTGGATTCAGGTGTTCCAATCCCCTCCAAATCATTGGATTCAGGTGTTCCAATCCCTTCCAAATCATTGGATTCAGGTGTTCCAATCCCTTCCAAATCATTGGATTCAGGTGTTCCAATCCCTTCCAAATCATTGGATTCAGGTGTTCCAATCCCCTCCAAATCATTGGATTCAGGTGTTCCAATCCCCTCCAAATCATTGGATTCAGGTGTTCCAATCCCCTCCAAATTATTGGATTCAGGTGTTCCAATCCCCTCCATGGCCACAGGTATATAAAATCAAGCCTCTAGGCATGCAGACAGCTCTTATAAACATTTCTGAAAGAATGGGTCGCTTTCAAGAACTCAGTGAATTTGAGCGTGGGTCCCGTGATAGGTGGCCACCAGTGCAGTCCATCCATGACATTTCCTGGCTACTAAATATTCCACGGCCAACTGTTAGTGGGATTATAACAAAGTGGAAGCAACTGGGAACAACAACTCAGCCACCAAGTGGTAGGCCACGTCACATGACAGAGCGGGGTCAGCGCATGCAGAAGTCGCCAACTGTCTGCAGAGTCAATAGCTAAAGACCTCCAAACTTGGTGTGGCCTTCAGAGTAGCACAACAACAGTGTGTAGAGAGCTTCATAGAATGGATTTCCATGGCCGAGCAGCTGCATCCAAGCCTTACATCACCAAGTGCAATGCAAAGCGCCAGATGCCGTGGTGTAAAGCACGCTGCCACTGCACTCTAGAGCAGTGGAGAAGTGTTCTCTAGAGTGATGAATCTGTCTGGCAATTCGATGAACATGTCTGGGTTTGGCGGTTGCCAGGAGAACGGTACTTGCCTGACTGCATTGTGCCAAGTGTAAAGTTTGGTGGAGGGGGGATTATGGTGTGGGGTTGTTTTTCAGGGGTTGGGCTTGGCCCCCTAGTTCCAGTGAAGGGAACTCTTAAGGCGTCAGCATACCAAGACATTTTGGACAATTTCATGCTCCCAACTTTGTGGGAAGAGTTTGGGGATGGCCCCTTCCTGTTCCAACATGACTGCACACCAGTGCACAAAGCAAGGTCCATAAAGACATGGAGGAGCCAGTTTGGGGTGGAGGAACTTGACTGTCCTGCACAGAGTCCTGACCTCAACCCCATAGAACACCTTTGGGATGAATTAGAGCGGAGACTGCGAGCCAGGCCTCCTCCCCCGACATCAGTGCCTGACCTCACAAATGTGCTTCTGGAAGAATGGTCCAACCTTCCCATAGACACCCTCCTAAACCTTGTGGACAGCCTTCCCAGAAGAGTTGAAGCTGTTATAGCGGCAAAGGGCGGGGCCAACTCAATATTGAACCCTACGGACTAAGACTGGGGGGCCATTAAAGTTCATGTGTGCGGGGAAAGGTTGGCCGACCAATACTTTTGGCAATATAGTGTAGTTCTTATTTGTGACACTTTTCTAACATGCTGCTATAGCTGCAACAAGGTAAAAAAAGAACAAATATCGTATTGGTCTTATTTACCTCCAGTTATTTCCTCTGGCGCCCTCATGATGTAGGTGGCACAGCCTCTTCAGTTGCTAGGACATTGTCGGCTTCACAGTGTCATTGGTTGCTAGGCCGCAGGCAGCCACCAGGCTGCTAACATCTAATGACGCTGGGGCTGAACATGCACTGAAGATGGGGAGCCTGGAATTGATTTCTTTGGTCTCCGTGCCCCCCACTACCATGTCATGTCTGAGCCACTTTCTGAATTCCAGGGGCAATGATGTATTTATACTGTTCAGAGCACAGATACTAGTCCTTGGATATTTTTGTCTTAAGACTGCCTGACAGATATGGGTTATCCTATTAACATTCCACATAGTCTTGGCGCTGTTTTCTCCTAATGCCCAATTATTTATTTTTATACCATCCAAAATGTCCAAATCCATATAAACTCGGCCATCCTTGATCCCTCGCTGCAGCCTGTAGTATGCTCCATAAGGCCAAAAATACATTTCCCAACGGAAATTTCCCACGGTTTTCGACTTTTCAACATTTTATTACTTGTTTTGCTAGTGGAGGCAGAGATCTGGTAATGCCTGTAAAGAGCTGTTATTTGAATGGCCTTTTTATGTAACGGTTCCTTTTTTACAAGGCTTGTTAAGGAAGTCATGTTTAGGTATCGCAATGGCGGCACGTTCCCTTCCATCCATCACACAATACACCCTTTGTTTTATTCACTCAGCTGTTTTGCAAGACTCTTGGTAAACAGTGTTGTTTCTGTGCCGAACAGTGGGATCAGCCCATGCTTTATATGTCAATTTGAAGGGAATCATTCATCAGATTTTCATTAGTTCCTTTTCTCGGTTTTTACCAAGTATTATTGGTATTATTATTATACAGGATTTATATGGCGTCAACAGTTTGCTCAGCGCTTTACAATATAACGGGAGACAATACAGCAACAATACAGTTCAATACAAGAGGGTTAGGAGGGCCCTGATCCTGGGAGCTTACAATCTAGGAGGGAGGGGCTATTGGGACAAAAGGTAGTAACTGTAGGGGATGGACTGGTTGGAAGAGTAGAAGATTCCATTATTAGCTGAGGGCAGGATAGGCTTCCCTGAAGAGATAGGTTTTCAGAGATCACCTAAAAGTGAGCAGAGTAGGCGATAGTCTGATAAATTGGGGTAGAGAGTTCCAGAGGATGGGGGAAGCTCTGGAGAAGACAAGGGAGCTAGAGAGCAGGAGGTCGTGCGAGGAGCAGAGAGTACGGTTTGGGTGATATTTGGAGACAAGATCGGTGATGTAATTTGGAGCAGAGTTATAAATGGCTTTATACGTTAGTGTTAGTGTTTTGAATTATATCCATTGGGCAATTGGGATCCAGTGGAGGGATTGGCAGAGAGGGGTGGAGGACACTAAATGGAGGCCAGTGGAGGGATTGGCAGAGAGGGGTGGAGGACACTAAATGGAGGCCAGTGGAGGGATTGGCAGAGAGGGGTGGAGGACACTAAATGGAGGCCAGTGGAGGGATTGGCAGAGAGGGGTGGAGGACACTAAATGGAGGCCAGTGGAGGGATTGGCAGAGGAGGGATGGAGGACACTGAGTGGAGGCCAGTGGAGGGATTGGCAGAGAGGGGTGGAGGACACTGAGTGGAGGCCAGTGGAGGGACTGGCAGAGAGGGGTGGAGGACATTGAATGGAGGTCAGTGGAGGGATTGGCAGAGAGGGCAGATACAGAACGGTTAGTAAGGTGGATGAGTCTGGCAGCAGCATTCATGATAGACTGAAGAGGGGATAGCCTGCGATGAGGTCGGCCAATGAGGAGGGAGTTACAATAGTCAAGGCGCGAGAGATAAGGGAGGGGATAAGTTGCTTAGTGGTTTCCGAGGTTAGGAACGGCCGTATCTTGGAGATGTTGCAGAGGTGAAGTCTACAAGATTTGGGGGTGAAAGGACAGACGGGAGTCCTGGATTACACCTAGTTCCCTGGCATGAGGGGAGGGACTGATGATTGTGTTATTGATCCAGTAATGGCTGTTTAAACTGAACAGCCTGGAAAGCAGCGTACTCCTCAGGGCTGTGCCGGCTTTCACACTGTGCTGCGATGTATATGGACCTGTGCCAGGGACCTGGACATATATGCTTCAGGACTTTGTGGCTCGTTCCAGGAATGGCTCTCTATCTCATAGATAAGCATAGAGAAAGCTGTCTAGGGGTTGTACATAGTTCCAAGTTCAGAACGCTCTCTCCTCAGCCAAGAATTTGTTTGTTTGTTTTTGTTTTTTTATCTGTGCATTAGGCACCAATGGCAATGCCAAAAAAGTCACTAATGAGAATGTGGTGACAGGTTCCCTTTAAATAAAATCTGAAGATGCTGAGCTTGTTTACTTTAGGATTCTTGTCATGCTCTTGCAGTTAAAGGAACAACCACCTTATTACATAATATTCGGCCAGAAGCCGTATTCTTGCAGACCCCACTGGCTGACGATGCTTCTATATTTAATGACTTTGCTGATCGATCAGTAACACAAGGACTGATTCCTTCTCTGCCAAGTCTAGACATATATCGATAGTTACAGCAGGTTTAGGTACCGCCTAGATATTGATATGTATTACACTGTAGCATTGTTCATTTATTACAGGTACTGGTATAGTGCTGACAGATTTTAAACAGGACATTTATACATTTACATCAATTCCTGCCCTCAAGGAGCTTACGTTCTAAAGCCGGCTGTAGACGGAACGATTTTCTTTCCTGCATCCATAGGTTGCAATAAAGAAAATAGCTCGATTTCCCCCTTCAACACCATCATGTTGATGGGGGGGGAATCCTTCCCACGGAGCCATTGTGTTTCTCTCAGCAGGGGAGTGACCAGTCCCACCGGGAGAACACAGTGATGGGGGGGGGGGGGGGGGGACCAGTCCCACCGGGAGAACACAGTGATGGGGGGAGGGGACCAGTCCCACCGGGAGAACACAGTGATGGGGGTGGAACTAGTCCCACGGGGGAGAACACAGTGATGTGGGTGGAACTAGTCCCATCGGGAGAACACAGTGATGTGGGTGGAACTAGTCCCATCGGGAGAACACAGTGATGGGGGGAACCAGTCCCAGCGGGAGAACACAGTGATGGGGGGAACCAGTCCCAGCGGGAGAAACACAGTGATGGGGGGAACCAGTCCCACCGGGGAGCGGGAGCACAGTGATGGGGGGAACCAGTCCCCACACGGTGAGAGAACCAGTCCCAGCGGGAGAACACAGTGATGGGGGGAACCAGTCCCACCGGGAGAGCACAGTGATGGGGGGAACCAGTCCCACCGGGAGAACATAATGATGGGGGGAACCAGTCCCACCGGGAGAACACAATGATGGGTGGGGTGGAGACCTGTGGGGGGAACCCCACCGGGAACACATAGTGATGGGGGGGACCTGTCCCACCGGGAGCACATAGTGATGGGTGGGGGGAACCAGTCCCACGGGAGCACATAGTGATGGAAGGGGAACAGTCCCTCCGGGAGAACACAGTGATGGGTGGGGGAACCAGTCCCACGGGAGCACATAGTGATGGAAGGGGAACAGTCCCACCGGGAGAACACATTGACTACTGCTGGTGGCTATTGTATCACATGTAAAATCTGACAGGTTGGTCTATCGATCAACTTGGTGTACATGCAGCCTGCCCATACATGGTTCTACTTTAGGCCGGTCCCTGCTGAACCAGCAGAGATACGAACAGTCTGTGGCCGGCTTAAGGACCCTATCTCACATTCACTCATTTACTGGAGACCATTTTAATAGGAAAAAGGGTCAGCCGCACATCAGAGGATAGATGGAGTGTGAGATCGTGTGAAACGCGTTAACAGGTCCTGTATTCATGTCCTGGTGTTGTGTGTCCGATGGATCAATAAATACACACTATATTCATCTATCCTCCGGTGTGCGGCTGACCCTTCTTCCTATGGCATCGTGTGTGGTGGTGAGCCTGCACCTGTTGTGGATTGATCTGGATTGTGTACCTCCTGTTCTTTGGTCTGGAGACCATTTAGACAGAAGTCAATTAACCTACCAGCATGGTATGGAGGGTGGGAGGAAACCGGCACAGGAAGAACATGCAAACTCCAGGCAGGTATTGGCTTGAAAGCCCATCATGGCAACAATCCTAGTGCTGCTAGGCGGACGAGCTAACCACTTTGCCAATGTTGGTGAACATGGATTAAAGGGTGGCGATGTTTGTTCTCCATGGTCCCACTGTATGTAGGAGCGTAGCCACCCTCTCCTCGCTCCTGAGGTAGGTTGTGGACTGTGGGATGTGTCGTGTACATAATCACAACTATTGTGCCCTACAGAAGTGAGGGGAAAAGGAGAGGATGCAGCCCAGTGTGGGACTTGTAGTTCTTCAGCAGTGAGACATGGTGTATACAAAGTCTGATATAACCAGAGAATGGTAATGTGTGCTTTGTTTACGTATCGAGTGTATCATTGAACATGGGATATCTGAAACCATACCAGCTGTCACTGGGCCCAACTAAATAATTCATCACTAAAACTTGATTCCACTAGAGAGCCGAATTTTACAGAATTGACTGCATGCTTTTCATTTTCTTCTGTCATGTTAACATTATCCAAGTGTTTTACTGTTCTTATGTTAATAGTATAGATACAGGTGTCACGCAGATATTTCCAGATCCTAGCTTCCCGGGGGACTGTATAATACTTCTTAGTGGAAGATCATTCAGTCCCAGCGGAGCTTTCTGAATCACAGGGAAGGTGAAAAGCAGTCATGACAGCTCTTTTTATCCTGACAGCAAAAGATGTCAACATGACAGAAAACATGCATATAAATACATCTCATGGTAGCAAAGCGTTCTGCGCATAATGGAAACTCTTGCCTGTTAATTTAGAAGTATGGCTGAGATTTCATGTTGATCACAAGATTAAAAGGGAATTATTCAGAGTAGGCATATTTTAAACTTTTATATACATTTACTCTGTATTTTTGATTTTTAAAACTGAACTCCAGGATATGCAAATATTGTCTAAATACATTCATCATCTGTATTCTTCCTTGACGCCGACGTAACACAAATATGCGGCCTCACAGAACTGCGCTTTTTTTTTCCGCATATTTTGCGTACCTGTCTTTGTGCTGGGAGCGCGCACACTGTTCCATGTCCTGAGCCTTGTTTCATCATCAGAAATACATGCAAAGCATTTTCCATGTATTATTATTTATTTATTTCAGGTACTTGTATAGCGCCATCAATTTACACAGCACTATATATATATATATATATATATATATATATTACATTCACATCAGTCCGTAACCCTCAAGAGGTGTACAATCTAAGGTCCCTAGCTCACATTCATACGTACCAGGGCCAATTAGACAGGAGCCCATTATCCTACCAGCATGTCTTTAGAGTGTGGGAGGAAACCGGAGTACCCAGAAGAAACCCACGCAGGCACAGGGAGAACATGCAAACTCCAGGCAGGTGGTGCCGTGGTTGGGATTTGAACCAATGACCCTAGTACTGCCAGGCAGAAGTGCTAACCATTTAGCCACTGTGCTGCCCGTATTCAAATGGACGCGGTACACCAGCACAGTTCCAGGTCTCGCGTGCAAGAAAATATGGTAGACCGTGCCGCATTATGCTCATGACCAGAAAAGACAGGTTATTATTATACAGGATTTTATATATTATTATTATTATTATTATTATTACAGGATTTATATTTATTATTATTATTATTATTATTATACAGGATTTATATTTATTATTATTATTATTATTATTATTATACAGGATTTATATTATTTATTCTTATTATTATTATACAGGATTTATATTTATTATTATTATACAGGATTTATATATTATTATTATTATTATACAGGATTTATATATTATTATTATACAGGATTTATATGGCGCCAACAGTTTGCTCAGCGCTTTACAATATAAAGGGAGACAATACAGCAACAATACAGTTCAGTACAAGAGGAATAGGAGGGCCTGATCCTTGGAGCTTACAATCTAGGAGGTCATCTCAACACATACTGCTCTCTCTGCTTCTGCTCCCTCTCTATTTCTCTCAAACTGTCTGAAATAGTAATTTTTTTTACTATTTTTTTAGTGCATTCTGGGCATTTGGGAAGGTCTCCCGAGGTTATCTTTTAAAAACGCGCATAAACACGGTATGCAAACACAGCTAAACTGACGTTTTTTTTTTAACCTACGTTTTCCAGCAGTCAGTTTCCATCGTTCAGAAGAGTTTTCCAAACGCCCCATGTACATGAGCCCTTAACCTTCCCTAACTCTAGCCAAAATGGGGGGGGGGGGGGGGGTTTGTTTTGGCTTTACATGTACTTGTTTTAAATGTTTAAAATAACAAGAACAGTGTGAACAAGCCCTAATGAGTAACTGCACTTTGCTCTTTATTATGACATTACTGCGTGTTCTGGAAAGAATGTTCAGGTGATGTTGTGTCACAGTGTCATCTTCCCTCAGATCCTCGGTGTGTTGAAGCTTTTCTAATGCTCAGGCAAGGATTCCCCATAATGGAACTAAACTGCCTCTAATTGCCTTGTAACGTCTTCTGTACGTTGCCGAGGAATGTTTGAAGATTTAGCACTTTGCTTAGAACTTGAGTCTTAAAGTATCACTGTTCCTGCTAAGACCTGGAGAAACTTTCCCTTTACTTTTCTTATGACCTTAGGAGGGCCAGGCTGGCTAGTCAGAGCATCAGTGGGAATAAAGCCCGATGTTTAGCATTAAGGGAGGAATAGTGCCCCATCATTGGTGTCAGTGGAAGTGATAGTACCCCATCATTGGTATCAGTGGGAGGAATAGTGCCCCATCATTAATGTCAGAGGGAGGGATAGTGCCCCATCATTGGTATCAGTGGGAGGAATAGTGCCCCATCATTGGTATCAGTGGGAGGAATAGTGCCCCATCATTGGTATCAGTGGGAGGAATAGTGCCCCATCATTGGTGTCAGTGGGAGGAATAGTGCCCCATCATTGGTATCAGTGGGAGGAATAGTGCCCCATCATTGGTGTCAGTGGGAGGGATAGTGCCCCATCATTAATGTGAGAGGGAGGGATAGTGCCCCATCATTAATATCAGAGGGAGGGATAGTGCCCCATCATTAATGTCAGAGGGAGGGATAGTGCCCCATCTTTGGTGTCAGTGGGAAGAATTGTGCCCCATCATTAGTGTCAGTGGGAGGAAACGTGCCCCATCGTTGGTGTCGGTGGGAGGAAACGTGCCCCATCGTGCCCCATCGTTGGTGTCGGTGGGAGGAAACGTGCCCCATTGTTGGTGCCAGCGGGAGGAATAGGGCCCCAATTGTTGGTGCCAGTGGGAGGAATAGGGCCCCAATTGTTGGTGCCAGGGGGGAGGAATAGGGCCCCATCCTTGGTGCCAGCGGGAGGAATAGGGCCCCATCCTTGGTGCCAGCGGGAGGAACAGGGCCCCATCCTTGGTGCCAGCGGGAGGAACAGGGCCCCATCCTTGGTGCCAGCGGGAGGAACAGGGCCCCATCCTTGGTGCCAGCGGGAGGAACAGGGCCCCATCCTTGGTGCCAGCGGGAGGAACAGGGCCCCATCCTTGGTGCCAGCGGGAGGAACAGGGCCCCATCCTTGGTGCCAGCGGGAGGAAAAGGGCCCCATCATCAGTGGGGAAAAAATAGTGCCCCATTGTTGGTGTCAGTGAAAGCAATAGGGCCCAAGGGCTGGACAAAGGCAAGCAAAGGGCTGCAGTTTAGAGACTACTGCTGTACACCATTCTCACCCGCTGGTCCCTGCTTACTTCTCCATGGTTGGTGATGAGCTGTCAGCGCCCACGCAGCCAGTGCAGCTGTCCATTGATCTGGAATCTCCGCTCTTCTCCATGTTCTTTCTGCAGTGCTTCCAGGACGGATCAGAGAGATTCTGATTGGTCTTTGCTGGCACAGAGCATCGCTCTAATCTGTCCCGGAAGCACTGCAGAAAGAAGAGGGAGAAGAGTGGAAAATTCAATTCCCTGACCAATACACCGGCTGTGTGGTTACAGACAGCTCAGCACCCATGAAGCTAAGTGCAGCAGGGAACGGAACGGAAGTTCTGGAAAAGGTAAACTAACCATTTAAATCATTCAATGCTGATGTGGATGTTATGGACTGCTGTGCATTCAACATTGCCCCATCCCTTAGTAAAATCCCAGGGGCTAGAACAAAATATGATCTCCTAGCAGCTGTTACTGTGAGGGACCACTGAGTGCAAAATAATTATGGCCACTCTCAGGCCTTGACTAGCTGTCAGTGGCTGTCCATGAACCTCCATGCATCTGTATGTTGAATAGAGCTTACAGAAGGTCAACAAATCGGGAGACCAGCAATGCAATATTACACATTTTCGGTTTGCTGCTTTGCAGGTCTCTGTCAGCATCCTATGTGCTTTGTAGCGGCCTTTTATTCTTCCAGAGGTGACTGGAGACCCACAGCCATCCACTGGAGGCCGTCAGATCCAGTGCAGGAGACGGTGCATGAACTCCTCTTCAAATGGTTTGTGGAATACATTTCTGCATCGTGCACACTGATCTTACTGCGGACAGAAGGTCACAAAACCTCCACGAATAGCCTGCATTCATAGCTCGACATATTGTCACAACATTCGGTGGTCACTGAGCTCCATTTCTGTTCTGGTGACCGCAACTCAAATCTGACCGAGAAAAGGCAAAAACAAAGTGTTCTTCCATAGAAAGCATCTTGTGTGTTTACCTAAACTGTGTCAAGGTTGCATATGAAGTGTCTGGGTCATTTCTGTATACACTTTTGTTTTTTGTTGTTTAACTAGGATGATGATGAAATATATTGAATTAGTAACCTCTATTTGTAATCTCCCAGGATCAGGGCCCTCCTATCCCTCTTCTATTGAACTGTATTGTTGCTGTATTGTCTCCCTTTATATTGTAAAGCGCTGAGCAAAACTGTTGGTGCTATATAAATCCTGTATAATAATAATAATAATAATAATATATAAATCCTGTATAATAATAATAATATATAAATCCTGAATAATAATAATATATAAATCCTGAATAAAATAATAATATATAAATCCTGTATAATAATAATATATAAATCCTGTATGTATAATAAAATAATAATATATAAATCCTGTATAATAATAATAATAACCTGGATATGGACAATTCCCAAAAACCAGGTAGACAGAGCATGTAAAAAAAAAAAAAAAGATAGCTGGTACCTAACCTTACTAATGCTCACCGTGATCTCTGACTCATTGCAATGCCTGTCGGATCCTTGCTTTTTTTTTTTTTTTTTATTTAAATCAGAACTATTATTTATTAATGTTTAAGGCATACAAAGAACAGTATATAAACCATATACAAAACAGTAGAAGAGAACCATCCAGTAATGAAAAGAACAAAAGTAAGAAAAGAAAATCTCCAGTGTTACCAGTCATCCAATGAGCAAATAAATACAACAAAATTGTGGTGATATTATGCAGCAAAGTCATATAAGGATCCCCGCACATGGGGCCTGCTCCTTGATTGATTGGGCTGACAGCTTCCCATAGTCTGCATTTATTTAAAGCAGAACTCCGGGCAAAACGTCTTCACATTTCCTACCTTCACTGAACAGGTCATCCATCGTCTGGTTCACTCAATAGTTGCTCTGAAATAGCCTATTAATTTTCAGATCAAACTCTGAATTCTCTTTGATTTCCTGTTTGTAAGACTCCCGGCTGCTATGCTTTCTATTCCCCTAGCCATCTCTGCCCAACCCTCCCCCCTGCTACCCATTCAGAGGAGCCTTTGTATTTTGTTAATGAGATTGCAAATATCAGAAGGCACATCCCTTCTGTAGTTCAGGAAGCAGTGATGTAATTTATTATTTATTTATTTCAGGTACTTATATAGCGCCATCAATTTACACAGCACTTTACATATATATTGTACATTCACATCAGTCTCTAACCCTTAAGCTGCGTACAATCTAAGGTCCCTAACTCACATTCATACATACACAT